CAGCATCGCATCAGAGGCCCCTTCCAGAGCAGCCACTGCAGGCACTAGGTCCCTCATGGCGTCTCTCCAGGCATGGAAAGTGCTGATGGTCACATTCAGAATGTTTTCCGTCTAAGCAAACAAGAATGATCATCACATTGAAATGGGTGCAACATGGCATTTTATATACATGTGTTACCTGTCTGAAGTAGGTGAATTACAATGTGCATGTGTTATTAATATGTGTATGTAAAATATTTTTAGTGCATGACACACCCATGCCCAGAAATGTGACATTAGCTAGCAGTGATGTACAGTTGTTTTTAGAAAAAGCTAAGTTGATCATAATAAATCACTCCTAGTGGGGGGCCTCATTGATCTGCTTTGTTTGCCTTTCTGCTCTTCTGTCTGCCGCCCTGGTGGATGAGTCCTCCTTGACTGCTCTCCGCCATTGCGAGTGGCATAAATCGTCTTCATACTAATGAATCTTTTCTCATTCATATACTCACTTTATAATTTTATATTAGTGTAGAATATTAAATCAAATTACACTGGAAAAATATGGCATTAATAATTGAAATAATCTCATCTACATGAATCGCTCTGCATGGCTTACAGCAGAGTGAGCCATTTTGGTCCTGTCCACCTGAAGCGTAAGAAAATAGCAGAGCTTTTAATAACAGCACCAGTGAATGCAATGAAATTTTGATCCCTCAAATCAGCTGTCACTAAAATCGCTTTCTGTGGTGTATCAGTCGAGAGTTACTAACAATCAAAAGAAGATCAGTTTATGTAGACCTCAGTACCACAGAGCTCTCCTGAGGATGAGAGTATACTAGAGGACCCTCTTGTTGAGCTGATTTTCCATCAAATATAAGAAGATAGAGGTCAGTCAGGAAAGATGGCACTCATGAACGAAAAAGAGATTCAGTCCAGGACAGCCTCAAAATTCAAAAGGGAGTAACATCTCAGCAGCAATGTAGCATTCTTCTAGAGAAAAATCCTGTAATGTTTTACCATAAACACAACTGTGTTTGCATTTCTTACGCCTGTACATGATTGTATATATAACAGTGAATACTCAAATCGGTACAAGTTGCCCAATGAGTATGAATTCCAGGTACAGGAAAAATGGTCCTCAGTTTGAGCAATGTATAAACCTGCTGTGATGTGAGTTAGCATTTGGCTTAATTTAAATATATCCTGAGCAAAATTATTGTTTCTGTTGTTCCTTCTAGTTCTATTTTGAGAGATCTGTGACTAATACACCTGTTGCACCACCTTATAACGTACAAGTTGCCCAATGAGTATGAATTCCAGGTACAGGAAAAATGGTCCTCAGTTTGAGCAATGTATAAACCTGCTGTGATGTGAGTTAGCATTTGGCTTAATTTAAATATATCCTGAGCAAAATTATTGTTTCTGTTGTTCCTTCTAGTTCTATTTTGAGAGATCTGTGACTAATACACCTGTTGCACCACCTTATAACCAACAGCCCATGAGCCTGCAGACTTCAGTTGTGGTGAGAACCAGGGATGTAACTTACAGTTCTGTTGAGGACTTCTTCACGGCTGCTTGGTGTAGGGATGGAAGCCGTGTGGCAGGGGACTGGATCCTTTTCCCAGAACCAACTCAGTTTCATAAACTTTTCTGCCTGTCAATAATGAAGGGATTCAATAGGTTCGAGTTTCAGAACTGAATAAACACATCTATAAGCAGAACGTTAATGAAATCGATAGATGTCAATGTTTTAACTAGACCTACATAAAAATTGTAAATTTGACTGAGAACTGTTGTATGAAATGTACAAAAGCCTGATAAATATTACAAAATTATAACTGAGATATTAAGAACACATTGCTTACATTCCTTCCCATTTCATGGAAAAGCTAATTTTCTAGGCTCTTCTTTTCCTCTCTATTTTCTTGTTCTTTTGCCCTGCTGAATAGTTATAGTTTGGAAGAAAGCTTTACAAACACAAAAACTCCAAAGCAATGACTATTTAAGAATCTTATTTCTCTAGAATTCAAGCACAGAAACATAGACCAGTGT